AGGAGTTACCGTATACCATAAAATCGTCCATGAAAACTTCAATTCTTTCACTACATAATCGGAAAATATGCTAAGCATGCATCTCTAGAAAGTACTTAGGACGTTACATAGGACAAACGACATTTAGATTTAAGTGATTATACCAAAGGGACAAGTAAATGTCATTTTCTCTTGATCTTCCAATACTAATGGAATCTAAAAGAATCTTGAAAAACTATCTAGAAAACAATAGTGAAATTTACCAACAAATTCAACTATTTGATCAGTAAAAAGGAAGTGCAAAATGATTTTTTCGAGTAAGTGAGTTCAACTTCATATAATCGATGTAAACTCTTTATCTATTTTAAACTCCTGTAGGAACCAGTTCGCCTTCAGAATTTTCAATTATTGTTACTCCAGGTTTTCTTAGAAACATGAACTGACCCAATTACAGTCGGATATCAGATAGATTACGTCGGCGTCTAAAAGTTTTTGGATTTCTTTATTCACCACCTCCATCATTGGAGGATTCAAAAGTATTTGTCCTTCTCGGGATAGTTTCATGCCTTTTTTAATTTTAATCTTGTGCATGCATGTCGATGGACCAAGTCCTTTGATGTCTGTTATAGTGAAACTGATTTCTTCTTTATGTCCGCGTAAAAGTGTCACCAAATACATTTCATCTGCTTTGAAAAGTTTATTTGAATTAATAACCGGGTTGGTGGAGTTATATCCAAGGAATGCATATTTGAGATGATTCAGTACTTGTTTTAACTCAATTTGCGGGGAATGCAAATTGAAAGTAAAGGTTTTGATTTGGACGGGGTTAGGCTCAGATCAGATTGGATAGAAAAATATATTTTCTAACTCCCTGATTTATTCTTCGTGATTTTCTAATTCCTTACGCAAATCATCGGATAAGTCAATCTCAATAAAATCATCCACCAAGGGTTCAATAATATCAACAAAATTAATACTTGTAACACTATCTGGATACTCCATTGCTTTGTAAACATCAAACTTTACAACCTCACCATCAAATTTCATAGTAAGAATTCTACTTTAACGTCAATTTTAGTCTGTGTAGTGCTTAAGAATGGGCGACCAAGAAGGATCTAAGAAGAAGAATTGCTTTGATCATTTTCCATGTTGATGACATAGAAATCAACAGGAAAAATTAAATCACTTACCTTAACAAGAACATTTTCAAGAAGTCCCTCAAGATAAATGACGGATCTATTAACGAGTTGAATTGTTACCCTAGTTTCCTTCAAAGGCTCGACAGATAAAGGCATTACATTAATTGAAGCACCAAGGTCACATATAGCATGTTTAAATCCTACCTTGTCGATTTTACAAGGGATAACAAACATACCTTGGTCCTTTAATTTTGGTGGAAGCCTGCGTTAAAAAACAGAGGATACATTTTCACCTAAATTTACTTGTTCATTATCGGTAAGTCTACTTTTGTTAGTGCAAAGATATTTTAAAAATATGGCATACAATGATACTTTCGGATTACTTCAAGAAGCATATATTAATATCCACCTTTTGGAAAATATCAAGAATCTTCTTTTCCACGTCTTACTTGTTACATTTTACTAAACTTGAGGGGAATGGAGGTGTCATACTAGAAAGGGATATTGTAGGAGGAGTTGGTGTTGAATTTTTCTTTTTCCTCTGGTGTTGTGTGTTAACTTCCTCTTTTTCCTCCTAGGATTTTTCTTCTTTCCTTTCCTTCCTTTCCTATGTCACCTTCTTCTTTATTCTTCTAGGGTCTTGGTTCTTCATTTTCTTTTTCTTTACTGGGCTTTATGACATGCTTTTTAGGGATTGGTGCAATTACAGTGCCACTCCAAAGGGTGATGGTACTAACGTTTTCTCATGGGTTTGCCTTTGTTTAAGATAGTATATTTACCTGTGATTCCATGTGTCCCATGCTCTGAGCTAGTTGACTCATTTGCTTATCCAATTCTTGAAGATGTGCTTCAGTTTGATTTTGAAATTTCTCTTAAAACAATTCCAACTTCTCAACGATGGATTCCGGTGAGGGTTTTGACATTTGGTACTACTTTTGTTAAGGTGGCCTTGATTGATATCGTTGTTGTTGAGGAGGCCTTTGGTTCTGCGCATAGCTGAAGTTCGGATGGTCCCTCCACCTCGGATTATAGATATTTTCGTTTGGATTGTATTGTCTCTGAGGGGTCCTAGAAAATTTTCATATGCGTTGACTTGTGCGGTAGAGTCTTATTGTAACATTGGACAATAATCCGTGGGATGGTCCGACATTGTGCATATTTCGCATAGTCTAGTTGTAGTCATTTTTCTTGAAACGATAGATTGAACAATATCATCTAATTTATCAATTTTATTTTCCAATAAAATTGTGCTTATCTCATAAACATGTTGAGTGGGCTCACTCGCAGAGCCAAATTTTTTAGAGTTAGAAGCCATAGTTGAGATTACTTTTTTGGTTGCATTCTGATTCATATTAACGAGTGCTCCTCCACTAGTTGTTTCAATAATCTTCATTTCCAAAGGAAGGAATCCTTCGTAAAGTATTGAAGAAATGTTTGCTTTGATAGTCCATGTTGTAGGCAGCCAGCGTAAAGTTTCTTGAATCATTTCTTGTAATCATATAACGATTATCCATTTGTTTGTTGTACTCCTAAGGTTTTCTTTCTTAATTCACTCGCTTTTGCTGCAGGGAATAACCTGTTAAAAAAAGACAAGTCATATTAGCCCATGTATTAACAGAATTAGGATGTAAATAAAATAACCAATCCTTAGTCAAGTCGACTAAAGAAAAAGGAAAAACGTAGAGTTTAATTTGATCATCGGATACTCCATGTGGTTTCATGCTAGAGTAAACCAGATGGAACTCGATAAGATGTTTGTGAGGAATTTTGTTGGGCAGTCCATGGTAAGTAGGTAGAAGATGGATCAAACCTGTTTTCAGCTCAACCAGTGTCTCTCTGTAAGGGAATGCAATGCATAATGGTTGTTTTTTGGTTGGTGTCCCAGCTAATTCTCGGATTGTCTGTTCAATCATCAAAATCAGTTCTTTGAAATCTTCTTCGGTGTCGAAGAAGGACTTGGCATCAAAGGATAACTCCGAATTAGGTTATTGATTTGATTCGGATTGTTGTTGTTATTGTTGTTCTTTTCTTTCTCGTAGTGTATGTGCGCATATTCTTCGAGCTAGTACTTCGATGTTAGGTATCCAATCTACTAGTTCGTTGACTTTTCCTGGTCATAAGTCGAAACAAACTTTAATTAGTAATTTTGTCGTGATCCCCGATAATGGCTCCATTTTGACAAGCATCGTAATTGTCAAATAAATAAACCATTTTTCTCAGATAAGTAAGCTATAAATGTAGAATAGGGAAGAAGGGGTCGATCCACGGGATTCCAAAATTTATAATTTAGATTTGAATTGATGCTAACCAAGAAATCAGTAAAACAAAAGAATTAAAAAAGGGTTTTGAATAATTAAGTAACTAAATAAATTTAATAAAACTAAAGTGAAAGCAATAAAAATAAGAAAATTAAATTGTAAAGAATTACTTAAAATGAGAGATAGCCTTCAGTTATCAATATGGAGGGTGTGCAAGCTGGAATGAATATCGATATTGATATTTCATCTTTATCTCTTGAAATCTAATAATATATTTCTTATTCTCTTCTCATATTCTCTATTAAATTCTCCGAATCACAACACATAACCACTATTCTTTTTTTTAATATTTTAGCTCTTAATGTTCAGTTTTTGGTAAAGATAGTCTTTGTTTAAGGAAAATCATTAGTTCACTAATTGTAACACATATTATGGACATAATATTTTTACACGTACTTAATTGATAATGCGACACATATCGTATCATTATTTTAATGACATGATATATGTCGCATCATCACTTTAGATAACGTGAAATATTTTATATCATTATTTTAGGTGGCATGACACATACCGTATCTTAGTTTAGATGACCATTAGTTAAGTATTAGTTTTCATTAAACATAAACTATTATAATAAAAAATTAAAATGTTAAAATTAAAATATCTGAAAAATATAAGGGTCAAATCAATATTTTAAGGAGTTAATTTTATCATTATGCGTATTTAAACTTGAATGGTTAGGGGAGGGGAGGGAGGGGGCATGCGCCCTTTGCCCTGTGGCCGGCTCCACTCTTTAGTAACCCTCTCATTTTCTCCCGAACATAACATCCAAAGCTTAAAGTAACCATTTATTCAACATGGTCCTACATCCCATAAACCTTGTCTATGCGAATAAATATTTCGTGAACGTGAGCCTATAGAAGAAATGAAAACATTAAATTAAGGAGATAATAACAAATTCAAACAATACTGGATTAGGAAACTCAATAAACCCAAGGTGATAAATTAATATTTTATACTTCATAGTATTTTTGTATACGAGAGAAAAATATTAACATCCAAAGATCTTGAGATGTGTGTATGTAGGTACTAAGATTTAAGTAAGGGAGTATCATGTATATATGTATAGATGTAAGGATTGAAGGAAAGACTCCCACGTGGAGACTATGTGGGAGGGAAAGAAGATGGGCAAGAGGCTTAAGTGCTTAGCTTCTTTTCTTCTTTGTCTAGTCCTTTTTAAATTTTTGGTTGATAAAAAGAAATAGGTAGATGGGATGTGAGGGACAGTTTAAGAAATGATGAGTCCAGTTTGGGTTTCTTGTTTTATATTCATAGCAACTTACAAATGTTGGATTTGCATTAGATTAGATAGAATTAAGATTTGAGTGACCCTTTTATAGTTTCCATTATGCATTAAAAGTTCCCATAATAATAAGGACAAAAAAAGGGTTTTAAATATTTACCCTAAGTTTATGGGGTGGGCCATAAATGCCATGTGCTTGCATGTGCTTTGTCTTTCCCTCTTAGCCCCACCACTTGTTTTCCTTTGAGCAAAATAAATGAAAGTTTATGTACATTCTTGCCTCCATCTCTTGGATTCTGATTCACTTTCTTGGATCTGTTTCACTCTGAAACTTCCTTCATCAAAAGAATAATTTTATTTTTCTATTTCCATAGAAGAAGCTCAAGCAAGGTAAGGGTCTGGACTTCAGCATACTACTGGTATTTCCTACTTTACATTATGTATTGGTCACTTGCACATAGTTTCATGGTGTCTGCAAATGCTGTTGTCTTCTTTGAAACCCTAGCTCCACTTTTCCCCTTAGAAAATATATAAGCATTAGGAGAAACTGGATAATTTCTTTTGTTTATTTGTAGGATGCGCCCTCATAGCTCACTGAAGCAAGAGTTTCTCAAGAAATGGATAATGGGTCTCCAAAGATGTAGCTTCTCGAAGAAGAACATGAGCATCTTGGAGAGGAGAAAGACAATAAAATTCTCAGCAGATATAGCCATGGCGTCTGCAAGAAACGGTACCACTTGTTGGAGTCGTGCCCTCATTTCCAATGCTTCCAAAGACGGCTCCAACAACCACCACCTCGTCAAACAAATGTTGGGTCCAGAATCCAACAGGCCGACGGTGGCCGCGAACATAGCGCCGACGAGACGAGCATTGGTGTGCAAGAAGATCGTGAAACAGAGTCGCCGGATACGTCGAAGAAGAAGGAAATGTGTTGCAACAAGCTCCATTGCCAAACATCTAGTGAGGAAAAGAACACAGATTTTGAAAAGTCTAATACCAGGAGGGGAACTCATGAAAATCCGTTTGATTGAGGAAACTCTAGATTATATTGCATCTCTCATAGTTCAAGTTGATGTAATGCGAAGTCTTGCCAGAGCTAGTGAACCATAAGAAGAAGAGCATCAATGGTGAATCGCTATTTGTTTTTGTTTTTCAGTTCATCTTTGTTTTCTTCCTTTTGGACCAGTTATATAATTGAAAGGAAAATGGAAGCTGGAAAAGCCGTAGCATCCATTTACAGATAAACTATATTTATATATGTATGTATGTCAATCGAGGGTTGAATTTCTATCCCAAGCATATATATGATTATTATATATTTCTATGGATTTCACCTTTTTCCTGTTTAAATAGTAATGAGATTGGTTTGATTATCAGCAGAAACGAGACATATATTTATAAAGAAACAAGAACAGTGCTTTAGATATATATATATATATATATATATATATATATATATATATATATATATATATATATATATATATATATATATTCAACCGTTTTATGTTTGGCGTGCATTTGGTGAGGGAGAGGGGAGAAGCGGAATGCAAACTAATGAATGAATGCAAATAAAATAAAGCCCTCTTATTTGATAGAGGGGGCAAGTTCTTCCCCTTTTTTACTCTTTTTTTCTTCTTCCTATTTTGGTTTAAGAAAACTAAAATCTTATTTACTAAGGTTGATTATGCTAGGAAGGTAAAATTACAACTATTTCATAGATTTTAAACCAATCCTCAAGAGGTTTTTAATTCGCGAAAATTATATTAAAGAGATAATAGTTTTTCTTAAAAAAACTTATTTTCATATTTTTCTAAATAAACCAAATAACATATGTAATATTTTATGTAATGTGTCAAATAATATTATATCTCTAGAATTCGATTCCCTTAGATAAACTTCCCTTTTATGAATCCTATTCCATAAATAACCATATATTTTGTGAACCAAATGATCCTTTGGATATTGTTGATACATGAGTAACCAAGTATTCCGGTGGGAAAAAAGGTAAAAATTCAATCTCTTCAAAACACTCAGAAAATTGATCTATTTTTTTTTCCATAAGTTACTTTAGTAATTTAATTTTTTTAAATTGAGATTAATTTTATTTTATGAATTGGATTAACGAATATTTTATTTTAACAAATGATTACGAATTAAAATGTGATAATTGAAGAATATGACGACTCTAGTGACGAATTAAAATGTATTTACAAAAGAAAAGTTAGAGAGAGTGAGAAAAAAGAACCAAAAGAAGCAGAAGGCAATATTGTTGAGACTGTTGTAATTGGTTGAGATTAAGTAGAGCAGTTATTGATTAGTTGCAGATAGTTTGTTTGTAACAGATTATTGTTTGTCAGTTTGTATATAAGTACTTGTAATCATTATTTCAGTTTTATCAATGAAAAGTATATTTTGATTTTGTATCAGTTACTAGGTCTTCTCATTTTCTCTTGGGCTCTATTTCTCTTGCCTGAGTAGATCCACCAGTATTCCAAACCTTCCTAAAATCCTCAATTCGTTTCTCTCTAGGGTTCTTCTACGATTTTCTTTTCTTTCTCGTCTTAATGGCTAACACAATTCTCGATTTCAATCATCCTCTATTTCTTCATCCGTCTGATATGCATGGGATTATCTTAGTTTCTCACCAGCTTGTTGGAATTGATAACTACAGTATATAGAGCAGGGCGATGAAGATTGCTCTCTTGGCCAAGAATAAGCTGGGATTTGTTGATGGTTCTTACAAGAAGGATGACTATGAGGAATCGTTGCAGCTCCAGTGGGAGAGATGCAATGCAATTGTGTTGTCATGGATCCCTCAATTCAGTGAGTAAGGAGCTCTCGATCGGGATCGTTTTTGCTACAAATGTTGCTCTAGCTTGGAAGGATATTCGCGAGAGCTTTGATAAGGTCGATGGATCCAGTGTTTTTTCTTCATAGGGAGATTACAACTTTTAATCAAGGTGAGATGACGGTTTCTACCTATTTTACCCATCTTAAATTACTGTGGGATGATTATCATGCTCTTGTTCCTTTTTCTGCCTGTAAGTGTGATATTTCTCAACAAAATCTCAAGCATCTAGTGCAGTAGAGGCTTTTCCAATTTCTGATGGGCCTTAATGAAACGTACTCTGCAATTTGTAGTTAGATATTACTTATACAACCGTTGTCATCTGTTATCCAAGCATACTCCATGATCATTCAAAGAAGAATCTCAACGAGTCCAGCTATCTGGAATGGTGCCAGTTGCAGAAAGTGCAGCAATGTTCACTTGTTGGAAATTCTGATCGAAGGTGTTTTCAATGGTATTTGTAGCTATTGAAAAGTTAAAGGTCATAAACGAGAGAGCTGTTACAGACTTATTGGGTACCCTGCTGACTTCAAATTTACAAAAAAGAAAGGATCTCCAGTTCCTGTGGCAGCAAATACCAAAGATGTTGATTATTTTGATGTTGAAGCAAAGTTGGTTGATCCAGGAGTTGTCCCACCTGTCTTGACGAATGCACCCCTTTTTACTCAAGAACAGTACAACCAGATCCTGCACCTTATGAATAAGAGCCCTGCTACTGATTTATCTGTTCATCTGGAAGGTACTGCTTCTTACTATCTTGTTGCTGCTAAGAATAGTCATAGTTGGATCTTGGATATGGGTGCAACAGACCACATGTTGTCTGATTCATAGAGCCTACAGTCTTCGCTTCCATATGCTTCTGATTCCAGATTTGTTCATCTGAAAAATGGTAATAAGGTTCTTGTTTGTTCAACAGGTTCTTTTTCCCTTAGCCCGGATCACACAATTACAAATGTTCTATCTGTTCCCAATTTTAGCCATAATCTTCTCTCGGTATCCAAATTATCTCGTGATTTACACTGTTTCATTATTTTTTTCCTGATTTTTGCATTTTGCAGAATCTCTTCAATGTTGGTTTTTGGCAAAAGTCCCACATTGGTTGTGTATAAGGAGGAGGGGAAATTCTTTTGTTATAAATAAAGCCCTCCTCCTCCTTAGTTAATCATCCCACAAATATAAGCCTTCTTCTATTTTAAAGGCTATTTGTATTCTTTCTCTCTTTGTAATATTTCCTCTATTAGTGAAATATTTTGGTGTTCTCTTTTATGTCTATTTAATAGCTATTGTCGGGTATAGTTGTTGTCAATTATTGTCCTATTAAAATTACTTGTCTTGGTAGTTCTGTCTAAGGAAAGTGGGTTTTAAGAGGGACCATTGTGACCCCTCCTCTTTCCTGGGAATCTACCTTGGGGTGATTTTTAGTACAATCGTTTTCACACTAGTCACCTAGATAATAGTTTTCACGGTGAATCTGTTATTGGTGGAAATTAACCCGAATTTCACAACAATTGGTATCAGCGCTCTTGGTTTATTTTAGTATGCTCTGTGGTTGCGGCTTAGGCTGATCTTCCACATCAGAAAAATTTCCTTGGGATAATTGACATTCTGCATTGGCAGCTATTAAATAGAATTTGTAGCAGAAATGGCAGACGCTTCTTCATCTTCAATTTTGGCAAGAAATGCTGTGACAAATGTTAGATTTGCAGTGGAGATTTTTGATGGCACCGGTCATTTCGGCATGTGGCAAAGCGAGGTTCTAGATGCCCTATTTCAGCAGGGTCTAGACATTGCTATTGAAGGAGAGAAACCAGATGATGTTGAGGAGAAAGAATGGAAGAGGATCATAGAATGGCATTGGTACTATTCGATCGTGTCTTTCTAGAGAGCAGAAGTATGCATTTTCTAAGGAAACTTCTGCAAGTAAATTGTGGAAGGCACTGGAGGAGAAATTTTTGAAGAAAAGCGGTCAGAACAAACTCTACATGAAAAAGAGACTGTTCCGCTTCAACTATGTACCAGGTACCACTATGAATGATCACATTACTAGCTTTAATCAGCTGGTGACTGATCTGATGAATATGGACGTGACTTTTGAAGACGAAGATCTGGCTCTGATGTTGATGGGATCACTTCCTGATGAGTTTGAGTATCTTGAAACTACTCTACTTCATGGGAAGGTTGATGTGTCTCTCAGTGAAGTAACTGCTGCCTTGTATAGTTATGAATTGAGAAAGAAAGACAAACAAGAAAACACAAGTGTCGAAGCAGAAGCTCTTGTTGTTAGAGGCCGTTCCAAGAGTCAGAATAAAGGAAGCAGAGGGAGATCGAAGTCAAAGTCCAGATTGAGCAAAGATGAATGTGCTTTTTGTCGAGAAAAAGGGCACTGGAAGAAAGAATGTCCCAAGCTAAAGAATAAAGGCAAACCTGAAAGGGGGAAGGCTGTCTCAGAATCAAATGTGGTCGAGTATGATGATGGAGATTCAGATTTCGCATTCGCTGCTACGCCATCAACCAGCTGTTCCAGTTCATGGCTGTTAGATTCAGCTTGTAGCCACCATATGACCCCCAATAGAGAATGGTTCTTTGATTTTAAAGAACTAAAAGGTGGAATTGTCTACACAGCAAATAATTCCCCTCTTGACACACTTGGGATTGGTTCAATTCGCTTGAGGAATCAGGATGGATCAATCAGAACCTTAACAGGTGTCCATTATGTACCAGATTTAATGAGAAATCTCATCTCTGTGGGAACCTTAGAGTCAAAAGGTTTAGAAGTGAGGGCAAAAGATGGGATTATGAGGATTATCTCTGGTGCACTGGTGATAATGAAGGGAATCCGAAAAAGAAACAATGTGTATTACTTTCTGGGTAGTACAATTGTTGGGACAGCAGCAGTGGCAGCTTCTACTGATGAACAGGAGTCAGAAGCAACCAGGTTATGGCATATGCGCTTGGGGCATGTTGGTGAAAAATCCTTGAAATTACTGATAGATCAAGGATTATTGAAGGGTGCTCGGGCTTGCAAATTAGCTTTTTGTGAGCATTGCATCAAAGGGAAGAAGACGAGGGTGAAATTTGGAACAGCAATCCATGATACTAAAGGTATTTTGGATTATGTTCATTCAGATGTATGGGGGCCTTCCAAGACAACTTCATTGGGAGGAACACACTATTATGTCACCTTTGTTGATGATTTTTCCCGGAGAGTTTGGGTGTATCCAATGAAGACAAAGGATGAGGTGCTAGGATTTTTCCTTAAATGGAAAAAGATGATGGAGACTCAACAGGCAGAAAAATCAAACGTCTCCGTACAGACAATGGTGGAGAGTACAAAAATGATCCATTTCTGAAAGTCTGTGAAGAG